CATTGAAAGAAAAGCCACTTTTCAAAGTACAGTGTCTACAAAATAACATGCTTAGGTATATTTTCCCATTTAATCTTCATACACAATCCTAAAAAGTAGGTACAAAAATCATCTTTTCACAGCTGAAAAATGACGGCTCAGAGAGGTTAAGAAACTTGTCCATTTTTCCCCAAGTAGCTCATTAATTTACCTCATAACATTTATTGAGCTTCTGCTTTGTTCCAGATACTGTTTTAGACACTAGAGACAACACAGCAAGACAAAACAACAACCTACCCTTAAGAACAATGTTTGTTCATAATCTGAATTCAAATTTAACTGAGCATCCTGTTTTTCTCTGACAGCCTTACTTAAAAGCAAAAGTACAATGTGAGAGGAAAGGGAATTTTAACCTCACAAGAGAGGTTTGGGAGGCTTCCCCAGAAACGGAAGACCGGCCTAGTATCTGAAGAACACAAGGAGCTAAAACGGTGAAGGTAGGTTGGAGCAGGTGATAAGATTGCCATAGCAGGAAGAGGCTGATGTGTGAAGGTTGCTAGGATGGGAAAGGTTTGGGGGGGGTTCTGCAAGATGAGGTCATGGAAGTGAGCAGGGGCCAGACTGTTCAGAGCGTTGCAGGTCTTGTAGGTTAAGGTTTTCAGTCTTTACTCTAATAGACTGGCCAGTCACACACGATGCTCCTCCGGCCTGTGCCCTCCCTTCTTTGATATAATCTACACAATGGTCTCCTGAGACCTTCCCAATCCCCTGCCTTATTGACTTTTACCAACGAATTTAGTCATCTTCAAATCTGTCTTGCCAGCTAGAATGTGACTTCCCTAAGGGTGTCAAGGAGATAATCAATGTTAAAGAGAGAAACATAGCTTAGTAAGTCCATGGGCTCTGGCTCTCTGCCACGCTGCCTAGGTCAAGGGCCCCTGCAAGTGTGGTCCCGTAATGACAACATCCAGAGCTTGATAAACAGCATATTCTGGGCCCACCCACAAAACCACTCAATTAGGATGTCTTGGATAGGACTCAGAATTTCCATTTGAACAAGCTTCCCAGGAAGGGATGATACACACAACTATTTGAGAAGCACTGGTCTATTCGACGATTCTAAGATTCTAATTCATAGGATTTTCAAATAGTGACAAGTGACAAGAGAAGCACTTATTCTAATCTGTCCTAAATCTCACTGTGCTCTTGAATTGTAAGAGGGCCCACGTGCTATGAGAAGACAAAAGCTCATCAATATAGTTCTTAGTGTCTGGTCTTAATCATTTATATTACATACTGTCCATGGGAAAAGATAGAGCAGGCATGGTGTGCAGTACAGAAAACATTTTAAATGTTGTCATGTTAAATTGATTTAAATATCTGCTTTACAGTAAGCTGGGATTATTGTTTTTCAAATTTGACCTTTTAAAATGTTTTCATTAATGCTCCCAATGGCATAATACAAAACCCAACAGACCATTTCCTCTACAGAAACAGAGCCCATAGCTCCAAGTAAAATTTCAATCCGACTTCATCAAAATCACTTCCTATATTCTACTTGTAAGCAAAGTTCAAGTTTAAAATAAAACTCATCATATATTTCATCATTTCATGGAGGGAAAGAATATTAGGACCAGAAAAGACCAAACCATCCAAATCCACCCCTCCCCATTTGTTCCGTTCTTCCCAACAAGGAAGCCATCGTCGTAGTCCCTAAGTGGGGCATCAGGATAAAACTAAGTGGTGTCTGTAGATCCCATTAAGACGTATTTCCAGAAAGAATTAAAGCAGTGGCTCTTCCCCCATCGATACTCTCAGCTGTCTCAAATAAAGAAAAAAGCTCCAAATTCTATCCACTGCAACATTTTACACTGGTTGCTCAGTAGGGCTGCAATTGAAAAAACAAAGCAAACAAAAACAATTTCGCGATGTTGTACCAAAACTGCACACAGCTGGGGAACTGCCTCTCCTAAGTTTACAAACAGACTTTACAGAAATGATACCTTTGTGTGAAATTAACTGGCCATGAAATACATGTTCTAAACCAGATCAGACAGAAATTTCAGCAATGTAGAACCAAGAAGCACAGAGGCGAATCCTAGGTTTTCCCCTGATGCAGCCTCCTGCTTTCACTATTCACAGATATTGGTTATTATGTATGAATAACATGAATAACTACATAGCGAGCTGGTCAGGAAGCATTTTGACAAATCAGATGTTTTTATTTTTGAAATATGTCAACAAGCTTGCTTACCTCAGAGTAAAAACTAATAATCCCTAATTATAGGAAATGGATTTTCTGGTACTTGCGGTCACGTGACACCCGTTGTTGATGCCCACTGTGATGCCCTTTGTGGTAATCTGGGGGAAGAACTTGTATCCCCTTCTCTGAGGCACCTTCCACACTTAGGGAATATTATAGACTTAATGAGTAGGATTTCCCCCTAGAAGCTCTTAGGCTAGTCTGCTGTTCCGACCAGAGAAGCTACTTTTACTGTCATTAGGTCATTAAAAATAAATTCGATTTCTCCACTACATCACCAAAACACTGAGGTGTAATCCAGAGCTTTTTTTTTTTCCTTTCCTTCTCCAGACAGCAGCTAATGGCATTTGATGTTATATTAGACGATTAGGAAAAGTCTGTTGTCTACCTCTGCTGAGTCTGAAGGCCAAATTTCATTAAAGGAACAGTACTGGAGAAAGTCTCTAGAATTTTTTAAAAGATAAAATTGTTTTCTTTTTCTTTAAAGAGACGGTGTTTCGTAATATTCTGCATTCATAAAGAATTTGCTTGTCCAAAGCTCTCTGAGACCATCTCTTTTGTCCTCAAAACAACTCTGTAATCCGAGCTAGTTGGAGCTATTTTCCACATTCCTCGCATGTACAAAATGAACCCAAGAGGGTAAATCACTTGCCCAAGGTGACATAACATAATACCTGGTAAAGTGGGAACTGGGATCTTTGTCTGGACTGTGTGTGATCATTGCTTTTCTGTCCCCCCCCCGCCCCCCACTTTCATTCCTTTTGCCACACACACTGCAGATTGGGGCTCACTCAGTAAAACCAGCAGAAAAACCTTTGCCATTCGATTTCCAGAAAGTGTGGTCTTTAAAAAATAATAACTATAATAATACTAGTAAACAGAATGAAACGCGGATTGTGCTTTTTATTTTCTACCAGGGAATGCATTCATAGTGCTGTTGTTAACGTATATTTTTACGTCAGGAAAGAAAGGATGCAGCACATTGTTTTTTGTAAGCCATTCTCAGGCTTACGCCCGAAGAACAGTGAAGGAACGAGTTAGCTCCTCCGAATCCCATGCACCTCAACACCGAAGCTTTCACAGGAAAACTCGCCGCCAGCAGGAGGCCTTCCGTAATTTGCCCCTGCGAGTGAACGCCAAAGAGATTAACGCCAATTCTCCTCCAGGATTAAGGATAAGAATTAAACGACAACAACTTTCTCGCGCTGTCAGTCAGCTAAGTATGCCGGAAGGAGGTCCTGCGAGAGAGGAGACCATAGGGTCCCTATCGTGGCGCCTTAATAGACGCCCCCTGTCCTCGGTCCCCGGGGAAGCGCCCGGGCGGTGGGGCGCCTTCCCGGCGCTGCGGCGCACTGCGGATCCGCCCACCTGCCCGCAGCCCGGACCGCCGGGCTTCCCAGGCCGCCCGCGCCGCCTCTGCGGGGCCCCCTCCCGCCCCCCTCCCCGCCCCCGCCGCAGTCCATCCGCCCCCGCCTGCCCGCGGGTCGCAGCGGTGCACTGCCGGGCATCCATCACCAGAGAGCCTCTGACGCACACACGCGTGCTCCCAGACGGAGACTCCTGCCTCCCCCTGCACCGCCCACCCCCGCCTGCCCCTCGTGGGTCTGCATTTGCATCACTCGCACACGTAGCGGGTGACGCGAGCACCCCCCGCTCGGGCCATCCTGGTGGCACCTTCGGCCCCGGTGCCCAGTGACTCAGCCCCTCCCGCTCGGTCCCCGGGTGCCGGGCGTCTGAGGTCCCCGCAAGCCCACAGAAAGGCGCTGGGTGGTGCATTCGCGGCGGGGTGCCCACCTCCCCATACCAAGTTCATCACCGTATTCCGCAGTCCTCGTGGGCCCAGCTCGGGGGCTCCCCGCGATACACTGGAGACGTGTCTTTCCAGTTCTAGAACCCAGGCCAGGGGAAAGAGCCCTCTAAGAGAGGGGTCAATGGATTGGGTGGTCATCTCCAAATCCCGCACCACAACTGGAAATTATCTCGGTAGTTTGTTTACGTGTGATGGGTTCCCCCCCCCCCCACGGGGCCCCACGCCAATCCGTCTCTTCAGCCTCACCTGGAACCCAGCGGGCGCTCGGTGGGTTTTTCTGAATGCCGGCGCAGTGTAGCGAAGCGCAGGCACTTACAGCCACAGCCCCGCGGGTGACCCTCTCTCCGTCCCTCCCTAGACGCTAGACAGGCGCGTCGGGGACTTACTGGAACAGTTCTTCAATTCCCCGTGTTCTTTTCGGCTCCCGCAGTACCCACTGCGGCTGCCTCTGCTCTCCCGCCACCCTCACGTCTGCAGAGGGATCCCCGCCGAAAAGTTGAGCTCAAGGCTGGAATGGAGGTACTGGACAAACACCCAGCCTGGGACTTAGAGCTGCTAGTTCGGAATCAGCCTCCCCCTGCCCGTCGAACCAGGCAAGCAAGGATCGTGTAGGTCTCCACAGTAGGAGGGCGCGGCCCCCGCATCGCTGCTGCCCACATACTTGCCCCAGGAATCTGAGATAAAGTGAGCCCACCTCCCCTGACCTACCCCAGGCAAGTGAGGGGAGGGTGGGGAGAGTCACACCATCCGTATATACCCCGACTTCCCCGGTTCCGCCCCAGCAAAGGTGCCCGGCTGGGCAGCACCTGGCGCCCGCAGGCGGGGTAAAGTTGGGCTTCCACAAGGCTGCAAAAGTTCCCAAGGCTGCAGCACCTGGCCTCTGGGTCCGGAAGGAAGATTAAGCAGCGGCGGGAAATCCCGCCACCGCTGCCGGGGTCCCTCACTCACCGCTCCGGCCGCTGGGGACCCCCTGCCTTGGGTGCAATCAGCGCTGCAGCCGCCACCGCGCGGGCGTCGCTCCGGCTCGCTCTCCGGGGCCGCCTCCGTCTGCCACGCTCTCCTGCAGCGCACGGAGTGGTGACTCCTCCAAGCGTGTCAGCAGCGAGAGGAGGGGCGGCAAAGTGGCTCCCGACTCACACGCTGCGGTCCTCCTGCCCCTCCTCCGCCTGCGCCTCCTCCCGGTGCTGCAGTGCCGGCGGCGGCGTGGCTGGAGTACGAGCGGAACGCGGGGCGGGAGCGGCGCGCGGGGAGGCGGGCGCGGCGCACGACACCGTCCCGGGGGCGGGCTGAAGCGCTCCGGGAGGGCGGGGTCCGGCTGCGCCGCGGGGTCGGTGGAGATAAAGCCACCCCAAGGGGCGGGTACTTTTGAAGAAGTCAGGGCTCTGAGTTTGTGAGAGTGAAGGAAAGGGCACCCGTCCTTAATTAGTCGCTGCGACTATGCGTTGCGCACCTGGGGGCGGCGCACCGAGTCCGGTCCCGAGAGAGAAGGAATTTTCAGCGCTGAACCGCGGTTGCCGGGGAGAGTTTGCCTCCCATCCCTGGGCCAGGGACGGACTGTTAACTTCACTTGACTTCCAGGAAGCCACCAGGCAGGGCTAAGCTGACCATTCCCCCGACCCCTACCCCGACTCCGCACTCCGGTCCAGGGGAAGCTTAGGGCGCAGTAGGAGCAACAGGAGGAAACTTGGCCGGGCTCTGGGGTCTCCTCAGTGTCTGGTAGGGCCGGACAGCTAGGCTCACAGGCAGACATTGGAAGCGGCCCTTTTGGGGGAGGAGGGGGCAGACGACCGAATATTTAATTTTTAAAAACACGGTAATTTTGTTTGTATTTCGCCCCTTGGCCTGCTGGAGACCCCAACTCGAGATTCCCCGCAGCGGGACCTGGCGGCTCGGGATCACCCTACCTCCTCGAGGCCACACCCAGTCTGGCTCTGAGAAGGGCCTGGACATAGAAGGGCGTGGCCCTCTGCGGACCGCCCCCTCCATCGGGGCCGCCTAGACCCGTCTGGAAGCTGGGCTTTCTCAAGTCCCCGCCCCTGCCAGCTCTCTGCTCACATGGAACCCCCGCAGAGTGGGAAGGGCAGGTGCTTACTGGAGTAATGGGTGACCCCAAGCGAGACAAAGCACAGACTGCAGTGGTGTGGAACTCACACACCGTCTACGTCCAGTGTGTTCTATTTGTGTAAATATGCCTGGATGCTTGAATGGCCGGATGTGTGGATATTAATATAAATATTACACGTCCATGTGCTGGGAAGGGGAGGGATCAGGCACCTCCCACTATGCATGAACACACCGGTGGAGAGAAGAAAATAGGTAGTCCATGGCCTATAGCTTTCCCTTCTCTCCAGTTCAGGCACTCCAGAACTGTAGGTTATGATTCTCATTTCCCATTGAGCCCATACTTGCTACCCTGGTCCTTGAAAGCCTGCCTGGGTCTTGTTTTGGTTAAAGGCTTTGCAGTTTGCAACCATGAATGATGCTATAAGGTGGTCAACAGAAATGGTAATTAGGGAACATGCTCATTTGCATTTCATGGGTTCTTCTGCATAAATGAATTATTTAAATACTTGGGTTGAAATTGTGTTGTTGCCAGGAGAAGGAAAATATACCCCAGGAGTGCCTATAATTCTAACTGTGGAAATAAATTTGTGAAATTTAAAAAATCATAAATCTTATCCAGATTGCCTACATCTATAATAATAAAAGTATAATATGCTAATTAGACCGGACTTCCTTCCAGGACGAAGCCGGGGCTGCCAGGGAAGCTCAGTCCCAGGTGGCAGAGGGAAGTCGGTGCCTGCAGCCAGGGGGAAGAAAGGCCTACTCTTGCACGAATTTCGTGCATCGGGCCTCTAGTATTATATATATAAATGTTGAGCTCTCAACTGCAAAATATGCTGGTAATTCATTGAGTTCTCAAATGGATACTCTCTGAGAACCTCCCCCCAATGTCACAGAAAAACTGATTGTTTCTCCAAGTGATAGAAGTTCATGAAACTATGAAACAAACCTTAAAACTGAACTTTCCCTGTGCTGTCCTTGGGAGATATTTAAAGAAGTATATAAATCTTTCTAGCTGCTGAGTTTTCATGTCTTGATGCGCTTGAAAATAACAGCTCTTACGGGAAAATCCCTGATTGTGTGTTTGCAGGAAGTGTCTGATTTAAGACCAGGTTGTGTTGGAGGAGGGTATTTTAATGTTGTGTCTTTGGAGTACAGCAAATATTTTCTCATGATGATGGTGTGTATAGGCTCCTTGGCCTTCCCTCCAGAGCTGTTCTCATTCTAGGGTCCCTCCTGGGGCACCCCTTGACCCCAGGCCTACTGGGTCTAGCACTCAGAATAGTCTTCTTCATATCTTCATTATAAGACTGTCTTCTCTCCTAAAAATACGTGTCTTGTAGGAGCTGATGGAGGGTAAAGAGGACACCACAAAATCCCAGTGGTCTAAAGTCACTACCCTCAGGCACATCAGGAGTTTTATTCTTCTGTGCAGTGTCTGCTTGTGATGCTAGATAGCAAGCAGTTAAACACCTAAGGGGCATCAAAGATCTGTCTTCACATCTGCAAAGTGGTTTTAATAAAAATAATTACACTAAGTGTTACACAGATGCTGTGGTGATTAAATTTGATAACATACAAGAAGCACGTACTGGACATAGAATGTTACTCTCCCATCCCCTTTCAGTAGCTACAGTGAGGTTTTCCATAGGCTGTGCCAGGGAGAGCTATATGATGCTCCTGCAAGCTCAAACACATAGCTTCCAGAACAGGGGTCTAGAGAGAGCCTCATACACTTGGACCAAGGCCATACCTGTCCACTGTCCTCACCTCCATCACCGAGGGTAAAAAGCAAGGCATAGATATCCACCCCCTCACTCCCAATATTCACAGCTTGAGTCTAACAATGTTAATCTCATTAAGACCTTAATGCTCATAAGGTTCACCCTCTATTCTGTCCCTTTCTTTTTCTTTTATAAAATTAAATCTTTTTTGAAAGTATTACATATGTCCCCTTTCCCCCCATTGAGGCCTTCTAGCCTGCCCCCTTCACCACCCTATTGTCTGTGCCCATGGGTTATGCATATATGTATACATGTTTTTTGGTTGATCTCTTCCCACCAACTCACCCACCCCTGCCTTCCCTCTGAGATCCCACAGACTGTTCTATGCTTCTATGTCTCTGAGACCTATTTTGTTCATCAGTTTATTTTGTTCATTAGATTCCACATATGTGTGAAATCATGTGGTACTACAGGACATTACATGATAATGAATTTTATTTTTAAAAAGCCACTTTAGAGTTTTTAACTTGAGGCTAAAAGCATTCTTATGCCTACACTACCCCCAACTCTGAAAGAATATCTGGCACATAGATTCTCAGCACATGTCTACTGATTTAAATTGAGTTGTGCGTTGAGTTCATTTCTGTTGAGAAAACAGGAAGGATGTCTCCATCTGTTGGTCCCCAGAGCATAGAAAGTGTTTGGCAAATATTTGCTTAAAGCCAAAATGGCTTCAGAATTTAAGCAGCTAAAAGGGAAACTTTAGAAGTCCAGATGGAAGGCTGAAATAAAAAAAAAAATTAGCTCAGTGAAAACTCAAGATTCTGGGAGAATCTTTCTGCTCAAATTGCCAGGAAAGAAGCTGCCCCAGGCACCGTGAGGGAAAGAGAACCTGGAGAGGTCTCTAGCCTCCTTTGGTGGCTCAGAGGGGAAGGCAGCCTGTCACACAGGAGTCTGTGCTAGTGTGGAGGTGGGGGAGGAAGTGGAAGAATAGCCACAAGATACATTCCTTAGGAAAAAGAGACATATCGATGTCTGGGAAACTTTCTGTTAAGGAGGAGAGAGATGAATTAAGGGAAACTCTAAGATGTTCAGAGACGCACCCTAGGTATACTCCCTGGGCTCATAACTGTCCCCTTCTATATAGTTTGTCCCCGTATGTATTTGCAGGTCTAGAGTAAAGCAGGTTTGTCACCAAGAAAATGTCTAGTCTCAGTGGCAGAAAAGGCTGGGGCCACCTCACACAACATTGTAGAGCCCCAGCCTACAGTGGAGATGCCAGAAAGAGCTGCTGTGAGTAGGCAACTCGCCTGCTCCAAATCTCTCAATGATGGTGCCTCCCAATGAAGTGGGATTTCCCCAGCTTGTCCGTAAGTCTCATGTCAGTGCCCACCAGAGAGACTTCAGCACAGAGAAAGCAATGAATGACGAGGGGTTAGGATGACCTGGCCAGTCTCTGACCTCAGTCACTGCAGTGCTTGCACAATGGCCTGTGGACCCTTAGCTCAACCAGTGAGGAATGGGAGTTCTTATCCCATGGAGAGGCAATTCTGAGGAGTGTTCTACACAGGCTCTCAGAGGCCTTCTGGTGGGATAGCGCCCCATTGCCCAATGTGGTAAGCAGATCATTAATCAACATTTCACTTACTATTCCTTTTCCTTGTCTCACTTCTCTATGCCTTCTCCACCCCCACCCCCACCCCCACCCCCAACCCATACTTTACAGGATCATTTCTCCAGTAAACTACATGTACTCAAACCCTAAACTCAAACTGAGACCTGCCCTGCAGAGCCATCTATAATCTGGCACCATCTTCCTTTCCAGCCCCTCCTCGCCCCCCAATATTGTCAATTTGAATCTTATGCCTCAGATAGTCTGGACTAATAGCCATTCCTTAAAGAGCCCCAAGTTTCTCTGCCTCTGTGTAAAGCTATAACACCCATTTACTACCTGGAATAGCAAATGCCACCTTCTCTACTGTACCTTTGCCAACCATTCTAGGCAAAAGTGTTCTTCCCAGTCCACACTCTGATAGCAATTAGGTTCAAATGCATGTATGGCCCTCGTTACTTACCAGCTTGGTGATAAGTGATGCTGCCTCATTTCCTACAATACAATAGCCTTGTGAAGGTCTACCAACTCCCCAACACAGTTCCTTCTATATGAGAGGTACTAAGCATAGTTTGAATGATTGCTCAAACATTTAATTAATCTACATTCCTTCTTGAACTTCTTCTTCCAAAGTGAGACTTAGCAAGGATCTTTCCACATGAGGGACCTAAGAGCTAATTTTGTACGGCCTTCTTTGGAG